TGTTGTTATTATTGTTAGTATTATTGATCTGACGAACCACTGTGAAGAAAGGATTTGCGTCAATTTCCATCTTAATCAAATGTTCCGCACAAAAACAGTCAGCCTGAAATATCAGTCCTTTCAGAGTGGGCGATGGCCCAGTGGGTTACGTGACGGGTTAGCGAGACCTGAGGTTGGGTTCAGAGGCCTGAGGTTGCTCTTTTGGCGATTTTGTGGGATCTTGGCAGGACGTGAATACATAAATTTACGAATACCATCGAGCCTTCTTTGGTGACCACAATTGTCACGTAGTGTTGTGTGTAATTGCAGTAGAAATCAGCGAAATATAGATTCGTCTGTTCTGGACGTTCAATTAAACGTTCGATTGGTATGGTCAGACGACGGTCCCCGAAAAATGAATAGCTGCCGCCTCCGAAAGAATATTGACTCCATAGACGAGCCGCGAAAAATAGTCCTGAACAGGTAGGATTTGGTTATTTGGGACGGACATTTGATCCCGAATGGACAGTTCGCCCGGTGGACGTTGCTTCGAGAATTGCCGCCCGTGAGTGTTGTTTGCGTAGGTGTGAACTGGGGTACGAACCGCCCAGTTGGGAGCGAATGTCCGCGGCAAAATTTTTCATTTGGTCCCCCATCTAACCTTTGAGTTTTCCGTTGATTGCTGACGCCTCGTGTCCATTCAGGTCTTTCAAATAAGTGCGCATCAACCCTCCGTGATTATTCTGCAAAAGTAACTAGCACTTTGGGTGAAATTTACCCTCGACACTTTGGAAAATTAAGATGGAGCGAACTCACCTGAATGTCATCGAAGTATTCATGTGGTTTACAGCGAGTGAGGTTTGTTAATTGTGTCATCTTTTGATTCGACCATCGTGTCGCCTTGTTGTATAGTTCAGAGAGTTCGTCTTGTGAGAATACTTCAAAAAATACGATGTTATACTTCAGTGATCTAAGTCGGGGTTTGAGAAAAGATATAAAGGGTAGAAGAAAAGCCTGTGACACTTACCCACCCCCGTTCCTGCCCATTTCCAGAGGGAAGGTATCGAGTGAGGCTTGGATGAGGCTAAGGGTCAGAGGAATACTGTAAAACTATGAGCGGATTGTTTCTGGAGACGTACCGGTTCGAACGGTTGTCATGCATCTGGCTACCACACGATTTTCGCGGTTCAAATAGACCACATTGATCTGCAATAAAATAATATTCAAGAGAAGAGGATAGCAGGCAGCTCTATTACCTGATACTCGAGTCCAGCTCGAAGTGGTCCAAGCCAAGTGTAATATTGGTTGCCCAAAATTCGTTGTGATGTCTCGTGTTCCTTGCTTAGCGCAAACGCCCAACAGGTGTAATTGGATGCAAACTCGTCTGCAAAAAAGAAATACCAACCGGAATCCCATCAGAAAATCGGTCAAATGACCCCGCTAGAAAGCTGCCACCCGTCGGGTCATAACAGTAATTCAATCGGATACGACGGCTGCAGCTCGGTCGGATGATATGGGTGGATTTTTTCGGGTGTCTGAACGAATCCACTTCAGAGACTGAAGAGTCTGAGGTCAGTTTTTATGTGTTTCTCGCAAACGTTGCCATCTTTCATAAAAAGCATAGCGTATTGCAGCAGGCTTTCCTGAGCCACTACCTTCTGGGAGGTACCTATTTGCTGGAAAGAGCCGTGTCGGTCGTGTCCATATGACCAGCGCTCGCGTTGAATACGCACGTGTGGTGATATAGAGCTGCTGGATTTGCGTTGATTCGGAATTTGAATTTCCGCCATCGTCTGGAGATGGTTTTTCGCCGAATTGTAATTGAAAATCGCCGGCAAACGGCGAACCGCGATCGCATTTT